GGGGGGGGGGAGGGGTATCGTACAGTTTCTTCGTTTTTGCCATCAACTACAGCTGTACTTATTTAGTAGTATTTGTTCTTGGAACAGGTAAAACTCGGCTTTTCCACATGCTGCATGTTATTTTATCTTCAAATTGTCACCATTTAAAAACAAAACCCTGGTGAGAATTTTGGCCGTTACTCAGGAAATCATCTACTTACAATCTGGATGTAGCCATTGACCTAAATTTACCTAGCTCTGTTCGGAAACGAAAACGTGTCGGTAGAAATAAACACTGGATTTAGAAACGGTGAAGTACTCGACAGACTGATAGAAAAGTATTCGTCATGTTTAATATTTTGCTGTAGTATTTAATTTAAATTCTGTCTCTGATATTACGTGCATATTTTGTTCTGTGTAAAATGACATTCATTGTGATTAGTATCATGCTAATTCTCAATTTATGTAAATGTATTGCAGCTTTTGAGCTCAATTCGTTTGATTTATACAATAAAACATGTTTAAATAGTGAAAAATATATCCTTTACTAACACCGTTAAACCCATATAGTATGACAACATAATACATTTGAGTATGTTATATAGTACTAAATAGGTTCATCCTTTGTAAACAAATCTCGGACATGGGCAAGTCTACTACTAATATTCAGTGTTGCTAATTTGCTGTCTCACAAGGTTTTTGAATCAGGAAATTCGAATGATATACAGGATTTTACTGACAGGGGCAAAAAACATTGTCCATATAATACATGTACCTACAGAATGTTTCAAGGGTCACTTTCATTCAGTAAAAAGTAAAATTACCTGCGTGTCTACGTGCACATTGATAGTGATGGAAATTATTGGTGCTGTCTCGAAAATGAAATATTGCTCAAAACTAAAGTTTGGTATTTAAAACACTCTTTAATACTTAAATAGAAATAACATCACGTTAGTTGTTAAACAACAAATATCAACAAATAAATGTAGATTTATGAATCCATCGAAAATATACATCATTTAAGTAACTAGGGCATGTATATGTAAAATGATCAAGAATTCTGAAAAACAAAAAATGAACGCTATATTTTTAAGACCACAAAGAACTTATAATAATATCAAATGTTAGCAAAGAACTTCATAGTTCAGTCATTTTCCTGGCATATGGACATAACTATCGAACATTTATAATATCACATTGTGAACATTGTAAACAAACATTGTAAACAAACATTGTACTTATCGGGTATAAGGCGAAATTTATATAAAGTTATTCAGAAAATTTGATTAACATGTCTTCGATTCTAAAACTAGATGAACATCCTAAAACAGGAGTTCCAAATAATATATATATGCACATAAAAATAGTAAGTTAGTTTCAATTCTAATTAGGGGGAAATCCGGGTAAATACGGACGGCCGGTCAAATACGGGCAGTGCTGATCAGTACCCGGAATATCCCAAAGTCTAAAAATAGCAATGGCGTGTATAATAATATTCGCCGTCATGCGAGCACTTTGCGACGGGTCCGGAAACGACTACCCGAAAAATAAGCCACGATTCGAGACAACAGTTACGTTACAATCATCTTCACGAGAAACAAACACATATACTTTATATTGTGCTCTTAGTGTTGTTATTTGTATATTTTTCCATTGCAGTGGTGTATCAATATAAATATTTGAGGAAGAACTGTTGTGTTCGCTGAGGCGTCCGTAAAATCCCCCCAAATATTAAGTTAGCGGGTAAATACGGACAGTTCTTAATTGATCAATTAATAGTTATATGGTTAAATAAATATTCAAAACTCCCTATGTCGGTGTTTCCCGCAAACTTCTAAATCCCCGGAAGGATGTTTCCCGCGAACTTCTAAATCCCCGGAAGGATGTTTCCCGCGAACTTCTAATTCCCCAGAAGGATGTTTCCCGCGAACTTCTAAATCCCCGGAAGGATGT